TACCAAATGCGTTTAATTATACAAAATATTTCTTTACTATCGCAATCTATATACCATATGCTAACTAAATATCATATTTACAACTCTTTTAGAACACAAAAATATTCTTATTATTTTCAGTATAAACTATTGCGCAGTTAATTAAACTTCCAGAATGTTCTACGATATGACGCGCTGTGATTGGTCGAATTTTTCTTAAATGCTTAAAGTTGTTTATATCAACTATTATTAAAACGACATTCTATACAAATATACTAAGAGTTGTAAACACATTGTAAAACCATATTAATACACAATTTGTTCCATTTCGTTGCTAATTTCACTTTTTATACAAAATAATATTCTTTCATCACTTTTTCTTAGTCTTTAGCTCTTTAGGCCGTCGCGAACAAAAAGTAATAACTTCGTTGTCTTATTCAATAAAATCAATGTGATAGTGGGACACTTTTTCAACTTTCGCACCTTATAAGATGGTTCTCCTTCTACTCTACACTCCATAGTTTGTCAGGGTGCTAATTACAAAAATATAATTTATTTTTAAACCCAAGATGGCGGTCATTATTAATATAAGTATGTATGATATGGATGTCAATTTCAAGATTTATTGGCGTGCTGATTACGAAAATAGCATATATTTTTAATGTTGTGGATGTCAATTTCGAGGTTTCTTGGGGTGATGATTACGAAAACGGCATTCATTTTCATATACAAGATGGCGTACATTTTTTTAATAATATGATATGGGTATTAATTTCGAGTTTTCTTGGGGTGTTCATTACGAAAACGGCATTCATTTTAATATCTAAGATAGCGGACATTTTTTAATAATATGAAATGGGTATCAATTACGAGGTTTCTTGGGGTGCTATTTACGAAAATAGATCTATTTTGAAATCCAAGATGGTGAATTTTTTTTAAATAATACAATATGGATGTCAATTTTGAGATTACTGGGGGTGACAATTATGAAAATTTATTAATAGGTATTGTATTTAAAAATTTCAGATGCAAATTAGGGATGGAAGTTATTGGAAGACCTGATTTAGTTGGAAGATCTTACGAAAGCCTATAGAATACGTTCATTTGCAGTTTGCATTTCAAAAAGACGTACGAGAGGAAATCACTGAAGAAAATAGCTATACCAACGTTATTTTCTCTCCATACTTGATCCATAAACAGACTGATCCTAAAGTCAAAAATTTAAGTGATGTAATATTGGATCCACCGATAAAAAGGAAACAACCTATTATTTTATCTCCAACAATAAAATTGATGATCAATTAAAAACATGGGTACCTAATTGCTACTGTAAAACATCTTTTAGAGCATAGGTTTAATATACGAGCTTTCGTGTCAGATCTAGGATCAGATTTTTGTCATTTTCAAAACATTTGGCATTTTCACAACAATACAAAACACAAACACTCGCGTTGCGTCGCGTTGCAAAACACAAACGCTAATTGCACACTCACGATTAGCGTTTTGAGTACTTTCAGGAAAAATGTTAGAACAAATTGTTACTTATTCGTTATAATAGTAATCATACTGTTGATGACGATGTAGTTTTAAAATAAATAATTAAATTAGGTAGGCAGAGACTACGGAATTCCATTTGGCACGATCCTGACACACCTCTCTCGCCTCCTTTACATCCATATATCTACATACACGCTCGTCGGTTAAGGGCACTCCTAATCCGGCCCATTTTCAATTTATCGCTAATTTGGTCGATAAACCTTCGCCTAGGGCGTCCCTTCCCGACTCTGCCGTTCACTTCTGCAACATAAATTTGCTTTGTCACTCGTTCCTCGTTCATTCTTTCTACATGACCGAAGCATTCCTTTCTTAATCCTGGTCACAACGTCATCTTGCAAACCATACTTTTCTCTTATCACACTATTTCTCACCCTGTCATTCAGATTCAGGCCTAGCATACTCCTTAACGACCGCATTTCTACAGCATTTACTACTCTCATGCTTCTTCTACCAGACCCAACTTTCACTACCATACATTAAAGTAGGCACTAACACAGCATTACGAATTGCAATACGTGCTTTTTTGACACATTCTGACTTTTCACAATAGCTTGTAAAGCCCCATTCACCCTATTTCCTGCTTTCACTCGTCGTTCTATATCCTTATCATATCTACCATTTCCTGCTAAATAAACATCCCAAATACACAAACTCATCCACTTGCTCAATCAACTCCCCTTCTACTCTTATTTCACCATCCATCCATCACTTTCGTCTTACTTGTGTTCACTTTCAGAGACCCATTCGTGCTATAACTATAATATAGCTGCAGCTGTCCTTAGAATAAAATTTTTGTAGTAGCATCATCTACTACAAAAATTTTATTCTAAGGACATCGCATCACATTGTCTTAAATGGTGACTGATACAGTGACAGGAATCTGGAACTTGTTTATTACCCCTTTCTTTTAATGACCAATGTTCATTAAAGTAACCATCATTTGCAATTCAGCCGCCAACGATGCAAATATGACTTGATCATGGGCATACAAAAGGCATTTGACGGTTAACTCACTCTTTCTCAACCCACATTCTTCATCTTTCAAAGATTGCAAACAACTGTCCATAAATAGGATAAACAGCCACGGGGAAGCTACACAGCCCTGTCTGACACCTTTTTGAATCCGAAACCAGTCCGAGTAGAACCCGTTGATCCTGAAACAAGCGCACTAGAGTCCCTATAAAGAGTCCTTAATACCTGTATCAAACCAGCGCTCAACCCAAATGAGTTCAGTGTTTGCCATAACACATTTCTGTCCACTCTGTCATAAGCCTTTTCCAAGTCCATGAAAACACAAAAAACTTTCTGGTTTTTGGTCAAAAACTTCTCCGCAATCATGCAATCAAGACTAGATCCGTACATCCCATCCCCTTCTCCAGCTTGCACATCCCAATTTTTTCCATCAGTTTCTTCCATAACTCTTTCAATTAACACCTTAACATACAGTATACCCACAATGCTAAGCAAGCTGATACCACGGTACTTTTTACAGTCCTGCTGTGACCCCTTTCCCTTATATATTGGGAGTATAACGGCTTTGCACCAGTCTTCCGGTACCCGCTTCAGTCCCCAACATAAATTAAACAAGGTGTACAGCAGACCTGCAACCGCACCCCCTCCAGCCCTTAGCATTTCGAGTGATACTCTATCATATGCGGCTACCTTACCTGCTTTCATGCTTTTCATTGCTTTCATTATTTCATCTACGCTTATCTCCCTACCTCTCTCTACTTCTTTCGGAATTTTTATTTCACTTAATTCAGACAACTCTTCACTCATAAACACGCTTTCAAAGTATTCCTTCCACTCTCTTATTTACGAGTATGTGTCTAAAGTCTGCCTTTTTTCTTTCAATCGCATCATTCATACCACCAGAATTACCAGCTTTGGTTGCTAGTAAATCAAGCCATACTCTCTTCTCTACTTCAACTTCCATCCGTACCTCATCATCCCATTACAACCAATTATTTTTCCTTTCATTCGTTCTCTTATTTACACCACATACTTCGGTGGCTGCATCCACCAAAACTTTCTTAACATTATTCCATACAGTCTTCAAGTCTAAATCGGTTTTGTAACTCGAGCTGAAAGGTTTCGGGACTTTGGAACAGAGCTCGAGGGGGACGGAGCGTTGACTTCATTAGACGAGACCTTTCCAACTTAACGTTTAGGTTCAGTGTGCCTCTAACCATTCGGTGATCGCTACCAGTTTTCACCCTCGCGATCACGGAGACATCACTGAACAGTTGTCGTCTGGTCATCATAATGAAGCCAATCTCATTTTTTATGGAACCGTCGAGGCTCGATCAGGTCCACTTCCTGTGGAGCCGCTTCTGGAAGAAAGAGTTCACCATAAAGAGTCCCTCTTTCTCCATGAAGTCGGCCAGCTTCTGGCCCCTTGGGTTGAACCCCCGGTAAACCCTTGTATCTACCACTGCGCTCCTCATTCTTTCATCCACAATTATGAAATCTATCATGCTTCTATCATCACCTCTTTCCCATGTATACATGTGAATCCTCTTATGGCGAAGTAAAGTGTTCGTCACAAAAAGATTATTTTCCACACATACGGTGAGGAGGTCTTCACCATTCTCATTTATACTTTCGTCGCCAAACTTTCCTAATATCCTTTTATAATTAGTCTTCTTCACCTTAACCCTTCTATTAAAATCTCCCAACATAATAATATTTTAATTTCCCTTACATTTCATCTCAAAACTGCTCTCGGATATATGTGGACTTAGACATATCTGGGGCGTACATCCCTAGCACAAACAACTTCTTTAAGCCCTCTTTCATTCGTATATTATGACAACCCTAACCTCCATACGCTGTCTAGACATTGTCGGCATTTACCACGAGATCAAAGGCGTCGTCCAGCGCCGATGGCTAATCCGTTGAGGCTGGCCGCCGTGATCGAAATTTGGTCTTGAGGACATCATTATTATAATTCGGTGTTCATATTAACTCATTCTAATCCCGTAGGCGTGTGGTGTGTACCAGGTGTTTCTTTTAGATTAAGGGTTATAAACGTGCATGTATGATGGTAAGTGGAAGCTGCGGCTCAGGAGAAATGTAGATGTCTATCTACATTTCTCCTCGATTAAGAATCAAAATGCAGATGCGTTGTCAACCCTAACCCTGATATATATCTCCAACTAACTAATTCTTATACTCTTAGTAGTTAGTATAGTAGTTAGTATTTTCTTTCACATCTTTCTGTGTGCTCGTTTATCACTCTGATTCTATAAAAAAATGAGAACGTGGCAACTTTGGCAATTGCACCCCCTATGAGGGGAACAGTAAATATCTATGGGGAGGGTGTAGTTTGAATTAATGTTAATGTTAATACAAATTAAAGAACAAAAGGAAATAAAACATGACACAAATAATTTATTAAATATATTTCGAATTACATGAATTACATGATATATGTTTTATTAATACTGCATAACAAATTAATTTTAACATTGTTTCCAATCCGGAGTGTAACAATTCAAAGTGGAAACATCAGCCGACTCCCTTCCTATCTGGCGGCCATCAGAGTCCACGCAGCGGCACTGACCACGACGACACTGTATCTTTCTGAAGTTTCCATTCTTACAACAGATTGGTTTTTCATTCGAAAATGCCATGAGAACAGAAGTTTGTGCACATTCTAAAAACAAAATATCGAATTTTATCACAGCTTAATACAATAATGTCCTAATTGAATATTTAAAATTTTGTACAGCCGACTTCAATATAAGTTATTAAGAATAACACAAAAACTATTGGTCTGACCTTGATCAAGTTCATATGGGACCACACGAGAAGTACCAGCTTTCAAATAAAAAAGAATAATCGAAATCGGTTCACCCAGTAAATAGTTATGAGGTAACACAAAAAAAAAACATACAGTCCAATTGAGTACCGTCTCCTTTTTGGAAGTCGGCAGAAAAGGAGTTATCTGACTGATGTGTCATGTAATGGCAGACAGAGAGATAGCAAGACAACCTTCCTCAGCAGCTTTCTGTGTACTTTCTTCTTTTTTCGAATCATTTTCTTTTATGAATATGAAGAATTCTTTTATGGTACCTAAGTTTTCTGTATTAATTAGTTGTATATGCATAACTATCTGTACTTAACTAGATAATTATTGAAATAATAATAATTAGTAAATAAACAACTAATTAAATAGTTAACTCGTGCATCAAAAAATTAACGACTTACTGCAATCCATATTTTTGAAACTCTCTGTGTTTGGCTCAGCTTCATAATCTTCAATTTTTTGGCCCCTTTCATCTACGCAAATTTTACTGAAAATGAAGATAAGTAGAGAAATTTAATAATTACTTGGGTACATTCTTCATCTTCTAAAAATGCTATATCCACGGTAGAAATATTTTCAAGGCCGTGTCTTGAGCGTGGTTTATAAACATAAACTGCCTCTGAATAAGGCAGACGCCCCGCATCTTTGACGCTGCTCCCGTCACCAGTTTGGGTATTTTACGTTTGGCTAAAACGAGATAGTTATATATACCGTTATTTTTGCATACATATGTATGTAATGGCACTCTAAGAACCTATTTATCGGAAGCCATGAGATTATTCTGTCAATTTTCTTAGTTGCTCCATACGACATCCACGGAAAGTAATGGCGACACAAAAAAAATCAATCATCGGTTTTCTTAAGTCGCCATCACACGGCACGAAACTTAATTACACCAATTTTTCGAGTCCTCCATTTGAAACATATAAAAGACATAATATTAATTAATTATAAATTTCTACTTCCAATGCAGAATTATCTTCGCCTGCACATGCACCCTGCTAACTAACGAATAAAAGGCTACAGCAATCAGTTTAGGGCAGTTTATTCATAATTTTTTTAAAGGTTTATTATATTTTATTATTTGCTATAAGATCTTTGATGATATTTTAGATATATAAAATAATTAGAACTATTTACTACTTTTATTCTCTGGATTAGAATGCCAGTTGCAATCTTAAAAAGGTTCTTTTCGCGTGAGTGCTTGAATTAGATTATTCAATTTATCTCTATTTTATATATTAGTTCCACAGCACTTGTTGCTATTTTTAATAATAAGCAGCAGTGGAAAATAAAGCTGCTTCAAAATATTTTTTTATATTAATAATTTTAGAAGCATCAGCGAAACTATCGCATCGTAAGCTGTCAGCTCTGCAAACCGACATAGAAAATCCCTTAACATATGATATAGGTAGTCGTGATAGCTGAATGTCATTAAATAAAATATTTTCCTATTGTTGGGCCTATTATTTAATCTACTCAGACTAACCAATATGTTATATATACCAAGGTTGACATCTTACTCTTATTATCTATGTGTCTGACAATTAAAAAATATTTACTCACGTTCCATTTCTAGTCTCTTGGATTCTTCCGAAGGTTCCATCTGGCATACATTCAGCGACCGAAGTAAAGAATTCAACATTAAAACCTTCTTCCTCTCCCCGCAGAATGAGTTCTATCTTCGCTTTCATATTTTCGTAGCAAGGTGTGGTGTAATTAAACGGCGGTTTGCCCTCAATTTGATTTGGAAAGAGGTCTAAGTTGGGATCATCTAAAATTTTTAATTTACGTATATATTATTTAGGAATATGGTAGCTTAAAAGGCTGAGGTATTTTTGTGATTGGGCTTCGCCTTAAACTTCATGGTACGTAAAAAAATATTCTATTCTCGTTGGCTTCACTAAAATTGTTAATTTTAGTGCTTATGGACAAATTGGTTCATGTTATGCAATTTATATTTTTAGAATACAGGTTGCTGTTTATTAATGTTAAAAGAATCAATTGTTAAAAGTCAACTTAAGTAGCGGATTGATAATCGCAATACCGTATGAAAAATTTTGTTTGAAAGGAATTTTGTTTGAAAGTGTCCACCGCACTGCTCCAGGATAAGTTGACGAACTGTAGTAATTAATATGTATGTAACAAATTACAATATAATAATGCACTTACAACAAGGTAACTCTGATATTGGTTCCTCATCTAAATTCACAGTTTTTTCTTCTCTAATAGCTCCAGTTATTCTGTGCACGCAATAACAAATTCTGCCAATGCACTGTATACGATGAAAATTGCCGTCTGAAGTGCACCTTGGTCCGATCACTGGGAAACGTACTCCCGTGGATATAGAGTTCTTTATTTTATGATTCAAACGGGAACAACCTAAAAATTTGCAATAAATAATATTATTCATCATTATCATTAAAAAATCCTGGCTGGACATGTAACAATTTTTTTTTATAGGAATAGGATGACGAACTAGCACACAGTCCACCTGATGGTAAGTGGTTGCTGTGGCCCATAGACATCTACATCTATCCTCGTTTGCGAATCAAAATGCAGATGCGTTTTCACCCATGAGGACTAAGATGGAATGCCTCTTTTCCAGTGAAATGGGTCTCCGGTTCTCTACACTCACCATACGAAACACAGCAGTATTAAGCTGCTATTTTACGCTGGTGTTCTGTGAGAGCGTGGTCCTTCCCAGGTCGAGTCGACCCATTCGTGCTACAACTATACTACTAATATAGCTGCAGCAAGGCTACCACGTAAAATTGTTTAAATAATAATGATATTTAACAAATATGTAAAAATAAAAAATGACTTTCAATAAGAATTACATGTAATCTATATTGAATAGAAATTATTCTATTCTATTCATATTGTTGTTCTATGAGCTTGTTGTAGATAGGATTTGGCGTAATCGTTACGCTTGGCAGGCGGGTTGATAATTTTGACGCTGATGTCCATCGCCGGTCCGGGTATTTTACGATGCTTATATACCGTTATCTATCTGAAGTAATTAGTCAGTAGATCATATTACTTTATCCCACAGTCGTGTCTTACGACACCCACGGGAAGAAATGAGACGATGGATTCTTACGCGCTTACTACACGGCTAGGTATTAAGAAATGGTGTTTGTAACATTTTTTTTGTAAAATAAATACAAAATGAGTAGTGTAGTTGTACCACTTCTAGACCACCTGAGTCAGACGTGGTTCAACGACGTTCGTCGACGCCCGATCCTAAAAAAAAAAAAAAAAAAAAAAGGTTTTGGCATGCTCTGATCACGAATCCGCGGTCCATTTTTGTGTAGAATGCACGGTTCCGGAGATGTGTAGATCAATTAGCTAATATCTAATTGATATCCGGTAAGGGCCTCCACCGTCATTAGCGTCCCATTGTTCCTATTTCTATTGTTCTATTGTTCATTAATCACCTTCATTGCAGCGTGTGCGTCGACTATATCAGTGCTATTGTTTATTATAATTCTTTGTTTATACAACGCTAATCTGAATCATCAATAAAACACATTACATAATTTTGTTACAATTTTTATTTATAAAATACAAAATCTTATTAATTATTATCTATAAAATAGGAGCGAAACATCTCATCCACTAAAATATCGTTGTACAATGTGTTCCTTGTAAATATACTCGTAAAACTATGTATTGAACATCCTTGAAACTTATATAGTAAATACATTAAGCAATATTCGCCACAAACTGAAGTCCACTCATTCTGAATCCTATCAACATTCCAGTTCCATCTTTTACAATTCCTTTTTAAAAACTCTAGATGATATCGTACAGGTGATCGTCCATATGAATCAAAATATTGACCGACGTCATTCGTATCGATATATAAAGCTACCCAATGTGACCCTGGTTTATCATCTGTATCCAAATTACATATTATATACGTTGGTACGTGGGTATACATAGGCAGTCTATTAGCTGCATAAACATTATTTTCTAGACTGGGGTGAATCTTTTTCAGATGTTGTTGTACATCTAGTGTATCCATGATATTACTGCTATTAGTAGATTATTACAGTACCTAGCTACTCAATGAATAACATAGGAATGGTCAATTATAGTGATTTCTACATATTAAATTGCATTTTTGTGATATACAAATCGTACTTGAGTCATTGATCACCAAACAAAACACAATACGAAGAAATGTTGAGATAGGCAACGGAAATGTGAGATAAACTGATATGTTTCTAAATATTAAATTGCATTTTTGTGTTATACAAATCGTACTTGAGTCATTGATCACCAAACAAAACACAATACGAAGAAATGTTGAGATAGGCAACGGAAATGTGAGATAAACTGGTTGACGCATAAAGTAATTATCAACTCATTACGGAAATACTTTAGATTAGAATTTTTACGTACTGGTGGTATATAAGACCAACAAACGCAGTCATCGAGTTAGTGTACGGTCGTTTGGCTACAGTGGATCTATCAATAGTACATTTTGTGTTACTTCAATACAACAAAGGCTATGGATGTAAGTGTTTATTCTATTGACTAAATTACTTTTTTTCTGTTATTTTCATGTGTGTGTATTATTTTATTTAAATATTGTGTATGTATATGATTAAGCCGTGGTAACTCAGATGGTTAGCGCTAGCTGTAAATTTCACAGTACGCGACCCGGGTTCGATCCCCGCCAGCACCAATTAAATTGTTAATAGCAATTTTAAGTGCTTATTACCACGTGCTTGGTGGTGAAGGAAAACATCGTGAGGAAACCTGCATGTCTGAGAAAATTTCGAAGGCATGTGAAGTTCGCCAACACACATTGAGGGAGCGCGGCGGACATTTCCTTGCTCTAAAACCCTCTCAGAAATGAGAGGAGGCCTATGTTCAGCAGTGGACTTTAATGGGCTGTAACTTTAACTTTTTTAACTTTTATGATTAAGTGTTAACAAATTGATATTAACATGATAACTGTGTTGTTGCAGAAATCATTGAGCTTCGATGAAGATACCTATAAACAGTATTACTACTCGCCACTCTCCCCTCAAGAAGAGAGTGATGACCTCGTCATTAATAATATAAAAACTATCAACACTTAACGCAGTTTATAATGACCCCAAGATAATGTTTCAATATTATTATCTAAAATATGTCTCTTTGTGTCATTATATGATAAACCTATCTTATTTAATTTTTGTGTGAAAATTGTGTGTTTAATTGATTTAAATCTAAGCATGCTATAATATTGCACTTTTTTATTAAATAGAGAAGACTTATAACTATTCATTGTCATCTTTTTAGTGATACATTTATTTACCCCTTTTGCCTTGGCTATAGTCTTATTCTCTAAGTTAAAAGCGTACATTTTGGATCGTAAACCCACAAATTCTTTCATGATTTTACCATTATTTTCATCTTTAAAAAAACCTAATTTCTTTTTATTTAATTTTGGATATTCAAAAATATTATTTGTATCATAATCTGAGGTATCAAAGTATGATGAAAGGTCAGGTTTTATATCAGTGTAAAAATCATTTGTAAATATATGATATATTAAACTATCCGTATCTGTATACAATAATTTGATTTTACTAAACTTTTTAATCATATAGTTATAATGAAAATCATACATTAATGTTTTTGAAATATCTAAAATGCAAAACCCTAAATAAATTGGTTTGTTATATATTAACTTCGTTTTTCGCAACTGAACCGCAACTAGGTTTTCCGAAAATATTGAAAGGCTATGAAATTGTGGTTTAGCGATTAGATCTTGAGCACCTAAAGCTTTACCCTGGTTCTCCCAGTGCGTAACTAATTTTATGTTAACCCTTTTTTCAATATTCTCCATAGTCTTACCGAAGACTGAATTATTCATTAATTTATAAAAATCTTTTTCGAAATCTGATTTTGCTAAAGTTCTTAATTTTGTGTTTAGATCTATGTACATCTTCAACCAGGGAGACTGTTTAAATTTTAAAACTCTATGAATTTTAGTTAATTTAACCCCCATTTCTATGCACTGCTTTAAATTTCTGTAATGAATTACATATTTATCTTTATTATTTAAATTTGGGACTAGTTTATTCTCATTAATATTGCCTACACAAATGTTTTCTGGACATAAAGGAAAGTCCGAATGTAAATCATGAAGTTCATCTGGATATTCCAAATCAACTTCTAAAATAAAACCGAAGTCTGATGTCTTAGACACATTAAATTCTGTATTTGGATTTACCCATTCGAATCCACCAGTAGGAAGATATTGAGACATAGCCCAACCATATAAATTGTTGGCATCAAAATATGTGATATATGAATTTGGTTTCCCTGTATCATAATCCTCCATGTATTTGTTATTAGCTCTAGCATAACGATTACTACATTGAGATACACCACCTCTGATACCTGATCTAATAAATGCAATTTTCTCATAATCTGTTAAAAGTTCTAATTCTATTTTTGTATATTTTAACATTGCATCCCAACTTAAACCGGGTGCTGTGTAATAATGGGCAGGGTCTAAATCATATGTATTAATACATAACTTTCTAAAGTTTTCAAATACATCGCTAGAGTTAGACCAATGCTGTGATTACTCATGTAGTAATAAAAGTCATTACTTAATATTAGACAAATTGTATAGGGAGATTGTTAGTATATTGTCAGAATCAGCTTCACAGACCTATGTTAAAAGAAAATGTACAAGAAATAAAGGTTATGTCACTGGGTGGAATAAATACGTTGCTGGCGCGCACAGGGAGGCTAGACTTAAATTTCAGATGTGGTTATTGGCAGGTAAACCAAAAATCGGCAATATTTATAATGAAATGTTAGAAACGCGTAAAAAATTTAAATCAAAGTTAAAATGGTGCCAAAACAGGCAAGAGCAATTACAAATGGATTTACTTGCTTCAAATCATTCGGCTAAAAATTTCAAAAATTTCTGGAAGAACACCAATAAATTGAATGTAAAACCTACGCTTCCTGTGAGTGTCGGCGGCGTCCACGATCATAAGATGATTGCCAATTTATTCAGCGAGCATTTTAGTGTTCAGTCGTCCTCGGATCCAGTTTCTTGTAGTGTAAATGATGCTGCGACCATTGTAACGGAACGTAAGGTGTCCTTCTCAGCAAAGCATGTATCGACAGTTATAAAAAACATGAAGAGGGGCAAATCGCCCGGTCACGATGGTCTCAGCATTGAACATTTTAAGTATGCTGGGGTGCACCTACCGCGCGTACTCGCGATGTTCTTTAATTTATGTCTATGTCACTCTTACCTACCTGAGGCTTTAATGCGCACTATTGTGGTACCGATCCTTAAAAATAAGACTGGTGACACTTCTGATAAAAATAATTATCGGCCTATCTCACTTGCTACA